ATACGTTTTAATTATGTTTAATTAAGCTGAGATATAGCACTATAAATTCTTAATTAATTTGCGCAAATGGATGAAGACATTATAGGCCTATATCTCAGCTCGCCCCTCAACATGCACGCGTTCAGAGTTTCGGCAGCCCAACACTGAATATTATATTGTGGCTGTTGTATTTTGATTCATGAAATAAAAATATAAAAATTAAAATACAAAAATGAAATTTAAATGACCCTGCTTCTAAATAAATAAAGCAGTTATTTTCATTTAGTTAAAAACGGGCCAAAAGAGACCTCCGAACTAGGCTACCAGAAAGGAAAAAAAACAAAACTACGTTTTTGCTCAGAATTCGTTTTTAATCCCTGCATGATTTTAATCATGTATGATAAATATCAAATAGCCTACGTTATAGCTTGACTACAAGTTTAAAAACAACGCTACAATTGTTATAATCAAGGAAATTAAACTTACCATCATGAAATGTGTCACGTGATAATGCCAAAAAGAAAGAAACATCGGAAACAGGCTTTTTAAAAACATTTTTTTATTGGATTCTATTATTTTTCCTCAACAGTTCTCCTCACAAAACGAAATTCATTTCAAACACAAATTTGATAAGAACAGAGTGGAAATTAGCAACACCAACATAACAGCAAAGCTAATGTTTTCTGTTAGTTTAAGCACAAACTAAGAAAAGTAAACCAAACTTTAGTGTGGCAATAATTAAGACCAAACTGAACATGGTGTGTGTTTATGGTGCATGTCGGCAATGTTGTTTCGGCGGGGCGGGGCGTGGTGGAGCTGGAGCTTGGGTAGACGATATTATCGGATATCGCGATATTTTTAAAGGCGATTATCGATAAGATATTTTTGACATATCGCCCAGCCCTAGTGAGGAACACAAATAACTCTGTTTACACACAGATGAAACAGCGCTGACAAACAGCAGAAACACTGTGCGCAACGATACAGTCAGAAGACTTTTTAATCTACAAATCGCCATCATTTACCATGGATTTACTGTAGTAACACTAACTGCACCATAGTATTGTGTCAGAAATGTGGGTATTCGTGTCGAATTTTATTATATTATTAATGTAGACATGTATTAAATGTATTGAAGAAATCAAAGCAACCATATTAGGGTTGTGCCGATAGACGATAGTATTGTGTATTGACGATAGCCAGAGAAATCGCCTGTGGCTGATGCCTTTGACGATATCAAGACGATTATTATTATTAGGCTAGTATTATTATCTAATTAATATTAGGGCTTATTTGTCCCATCATATTTATTTTTCCACGTTGTTGCAGTGTTGCGCATTATAACCAATCACACACGATTCTGTTGAGCTTATGAATGCAAAGGCCAATCAGAAGCGTTCAGATGAGTCATCGCTGAAACACTGAGTTTTGTTGTTCAGTGCTCGCACTCGCTGACTGAATTCTGCTCTCTCGCAGATTCCCACATCCTAAAAAAATGCTGATGTACGTGCGATGTAATTATAAGAGATATAGTATAGCTTGACTGATTATAATGGGAGTGTTTTTTTTAAAGTGCATTAACTCGCTCTAGACGGAAGTCAGTGATGATGGTCTTTGATGATTGAAGAGATAAGAGATATAGTATAGCTTGACTGATTATAATGGGAGTGTTTTTTTTTAAGTGCATTAACTCACTCTAGACGGAAGTCAGTGATGATGGTCTTTGATGATTGAAGAGATGCTTGAGATGCTTATTATAAGAGATGCTAGAGATGCTTATTAGGCAGGAGTTTACAGGTTTGATACAAATGCATTTATGGAGGAATTTTCCCACATAGTCCATAGATTTGTTTCTATAAAAAATTGAGCACATCTCAGATAAATAGATACTTTTTGAAAATGCCCTGTTTTTGGGGTACCGCAACCCGCTTGGCCCTCACACATTAGTTGCAGCACATTCAAAAGGGGGCTCTCTGGCTTTGATCTTCTAGATCAGTGTGGAAAATGTATTTTTGCTTACATTGTGTGGTGGAAACCAAAGTTCTCAACCAAATACATCAACTTCGCGCTGTCGATCGCCGGATCGGCTTTCACTGTGGACGAAGCGGAGTCCAGCCCGGGGTCGTCACATGTGGTTGCCGC